GTTAGTGTTAGGGTTAGGGTTTACGTTGCTGTTTTGTTTGGGTTGTAGTGTTTAGGGTTAGGAAAGGGTTTTTGTGTTCTGTTTTAGGGTTTAGGGTTAGGGTTATGGTTAGGGTTTCTGTTTCTGTTTTAGGGTTAGGGATAGGGTTTCTGATTTCTGTTTTATTTTAGGATTAGGTTTTGTTTTTTATATTGAATTTTAAATTTTTTGATATTGTTATTGTTCATTGATTTTTGTTTCCACTTGCATTGTAGGTACAGTTGCTCCCATGGCTGGCCGTAGAAGATCGTCTAGCACTGGAAATGAGAGACGACAGAAGCTACGACAAGACCGTCCGTCTTCGTCAAGGCCACAAGAGGAAGACCCCGCTGTTGTGGACCTCCCATTCGGATACTTGTTCGAGAATGACCCGGTGGTTCATGAATCTTTTGTCCGTGGCTTTGTTAACCGACCGATTTGTGGGGCCAAATCACTTGATACAACCTTTTTTGAACAAGAAGGTTTTAACATTGTGAGGTGGTTGGAGGAATCACATCTTAGGACCTTGGCTGAACTGTCGTGTTCATATTCTGAGCTGCATGTACGGGCCTTCTACCATAATCTCAGCTACCATCAGGGTGAGCTGAGGTCTAGGGTCTGCGGGGTGGACATCATCATGACGGCTCCGGTATGGTTGGAGTTACTGGGGTATGACTTTGATTCTGCGCAGACTGTGGAATATGACGCAGACAGCGGGACCATACTTCCAGGATATACACGCGGTGATGTCGTGCAGGAGCAGAGGAGAGTCCGTGGGCAACACATTGCCTATACGGTGGGGTTGCTTACTGTGGAGTCCCGCATACTACACTATGTCATCACCCACATTTTGTTTCCGCGAGCGTTCAATCATTCCAGGGTGTTGGAGCATGACATTCCCATCATGTGGGCTATCCGACATGGTACTTCGGTGAACTGGAGGCACTACGTGTGTTGGATGATGTATAAGGCCAAACACAAGGGTGCACTTCCATTTACTTGTCTTGTTCAGAGGATATTGGAGCATTTTGATGTTCCCATGGGTAATGTGACGTTGAAGAAGACCACAGGGTATAATCATAAGTTTGGAAAACGTCTACTGGAGCAGTGCAAGATGACAAAGAACCCCCAAACAGGAGTGTGGCAGTTCACAGGTGCGGCTGATGTTGAGGTTCCTGATGTTGCTCCAGTTATAGACATGGTTGACCCCGAGGTGGAGGATGATGATGACGATGATGATGAGGGTGACCAGCAGGAGATAGCTGAGCCTGATGGTGGGTTTTCATTACGTGATGTCATGAAGGGCATAAACGCCACGCTGAAGAAAATAGGAAAAATGGCGCTGAAACACAAAAAATGAAGGAAGAGTCACGTGCAGAAGGGAAATGAAAGATTTAGACATATACAGGGACGGTTCAAGGGTGTTGAAGATAGGCTTGCTCGTCTAGAGCTTGGACGAGGACAACAGATTGAGGATGGTGCAGGGCAGGGGGCTGATGTGTCAGATGAGGATGACGAGGAGACGGCGTCCGAGGAGGATGAGGATTAGATTTAGGGTTTATGTTTCTATTTTACGTTTCTAGTGTATGTTGTTATGTAATTGACTTCGGTCTTCCTATTTGACATTTGTAGTTTATGTAATATTATGGTTATGAAATGAACTATTTCATGTTCCCATCATGTTGTGAACCGTTTACGTAATTATTGTTGTTTTCTTGTTTACCAAATGAAGGAACAAATATCTTTTACCTTCATGTTTTCAATTTGTGTCTAATCACAGTCCAACGGGTCTAAAATGTCCAATGAAATTCAGAACATGTGACCTTAACAGAGTTAAAATAAGAACACAAGTTTCGGATACCCTAACTTGGAGCATTTATGCAGTACATGTACATTCGTGGTTTATAACCTGTACAATACTATTTTGTACCTGAAAGTGTGTTCCCCAAGTCATTATATGTGTGTACATTGATATTCGATCGGTTCCGTGCCAAAAAAAATCGTGCAAAACAGAATGGTGTGTCAAAACCAGTTATTTAGTCGAGCAACCCGTACTGGTTTAGTCGACTAAACTGTGTAGTCGACTAAACCAGTACGGGTTGCTCGACTAAATAACTGGTTTTGACACCCCATTCTATTTTTTACGATTTTTTTTGGCACGGAACCGATCGAATATCAATGTACACGCATATAATGACTTGGGGAACACACTTTCAGGTACAAAATAGTATTGTACAGGATTCGTATGCGATTGGGTACGTATTACCCCAAACCGTTTGTTTACGCTCCCCGAAACTTGGTGATTTCATTTTTTGGTAATATTAGTATTAGTAATGAGTTTCAATCTATCAATATGGACCAATGTTAGATAATGGACTTAGAAATGAAATGTCAAATTACATAATGAGTTATACAGTAACACAAAGTAACATCACAATGTCTTACAAAAATTACATGAACTCTTACAAAAGACCTTAAATACATGCACAACATTGCTTCAGCTAGGATTAATCCTCATAGGACATGTATCAATCTTGAACACAGAACCAGGATTTATCTGTGTCATGTAGTTCAGCCAACCAGGTAAGATGGCATATGATTTATCCCAGTCCCCAAACAACTTCACAATGTCCTTCATTTTAGCCTTCCAAGCCTTCCTATAAGATATGTTGTATCCTTACAAACTTTGTACCCTCTCCTGAATAAGAACTGGTTTCGTGGATGGATATTCTTTTAACATACCTATACAAAATTCCAAGTCAACACAATCAATAAATATACCGAAAAATTAAACCATAAACAAAAATGAATGTAATACATACTTATAATGGCTGCACAGATTACATCAGAATCCAGCTGTCTATGGTCCCGAGTAAGGCCTTGGTTTAGGCAGGTGTGTTTTTTACCCCACTTACTAACAACCCAACTATTTCCATTCTTGGGCAACATAGCCCGCACGTACCAGGAACAACCATCATTATGGTGTCGACACTTCATCACAAATCTATGGTCATCACTTTTTGCCACCACAACAGTACGATGAGACTTCATACAATATAATTTGACAGCATAATGCATTTCAGATTTAGTTCGAAACTCCTGGTACAAATGTAATGGATCTCCTAAATGCCAGCCACCGTGGATGTCATCGTCGCCATACAATATCTCCGTCTCATCATTAGGGTGAGCCCAATTAATGAACGAATAGTGTGGGCTGTCGTTCCAAAATGGCTCAATCTCAGACCCTACGTCCAAATTTAAACTTATCCCTCAGTACGAAAGAAAACACAAATATATATATGCAAAATTAAAACTTTAATTTACAATCTTACCACTGCTAACAGGGTCAACACGGAGCGGTGGCATAACCTGGGAACTCAAGTTTCCTGAACTAGTATCAGCGTCAAAATTCCCCTCTACGTCTGTATCTGAGGTGTCACCCAGGGGAATAACACTCTCGGGTTCACCATCGTCATCACTGTCCATATCCTCGTCATGCCCATCCTCATCCTCGTCTATTTCCCTCAGTGGTATCTGACTTAAGACAGGTGCAGGTGCAGATAAACCGACCACTCTGTCTTCTTGACTTTGACTTCTTCCATGCACAGGTGCAGATGAAGATTGACCACAGTCTATTTCAACATATATCTCAATAAAGTTTTGAAACTTTCGGTCCACAATTGCATCTATGACACAGTCCACATCTTCATCGTCACATATATCATTACCAATGTAGAATATAGCATCCTTACCAACTGTAGACTCTACCCTGGCGATCATCCGTTGAACGCCATGGCTGCCGTGTAGCCCCAATTTTTGGTTAATCCTCCCCTTCAGCTCATTATATGTAGTGCCCCGTTTGATTTTCAACATTTTCGTTTTTCCTTCAAATTGAACACCGTTGGGGCCTTCATAATGCTTTCCATCATAGTAAATCATGGTAACATACATGTTTGGACTTGAGCTCATCTTTCACACGAATTTTAGGGGTAGAAATCAGATTTTAGGGGTTAGGGTTCGGATTTGGGGAAAACAATTGAGAAATAAAGGAAAATGACAATGATTTCACAATTACTATGCCTTAGAGGTGGTGGGATGAAATGGAAGGGTGATTGGAAGGTTCCCAGCTGACAAACAAGAGAAAGAGACCAAGAGAGGAGTTTTGATTTCGAATATTTTGAAAATGAGGCCAAGAGAGGTCTGGATATAGGGTTTTTCGCGATCTTTAGTCGACTAAATAATGTGCTTAGTCGACTAAAAGTGCAAACAATTTAGTCGATTAAGGTGAGTTTTTAGTCGACTAAAATTCGCGTTTCATAATTTCTGAGTTTAGCCCATTTAGTCGATTAAAAGTGCAACTTAATCGACTAAATGGGGGCAGGATGGTAGATAGTTCTGGGAGAAGGGCAAATTGATTATTAATTATTTAATTAGGGACAAAAGGGTCAAAAACCCGGAAGTTGTTGCTTCCTAGCTTCTTGTCTATATTCACGCTCTGCAGTCCTGCACAAGCTCTTACACTAGGAAGTGAGATGTAGAGATCAAAATGACTTCGAAATACGTAGCTGAGTTATATTTAATTTGGTTTGGAGAAAATCCTTTATTACGTATGCATAATCATGGATAGAATCCTAGTTGTTAAAGAACTGATTCAATAGTATTAGTATGCATATCTGTCCAGTTTAAAAGTGCCATGTGCCATTTTTTATTTTTATTTTGGTTTGTTTTATGTAAGTTGATTGGTATAAAGTGCTACTAACTACTAAGTGCTTTATACACTACTTTATCAAGTGCTACTAAGTAGTAACTAGTAAGTACTCTGTTAATTATATTTGTCGTGGTTAATTCAGGTCGTAAGCCAAAGGAGAAGATCATGACAGAGAACCTGCATTTATTTCATTAATCTTCATTAAGTACTTTAATTTCCACCATGACATGAATATGAGCATTACACTTGCATGACAGTATAAGAATTTTTAAATTCAAAATCCACCACCACCAAAGCCGCCGCCAGCCCCTCCACCAGCTCCGCCACCAGCACCCCCACCAACGCCAACTCCAGCGCCCCCACCTGCACCACCTCCAAATCCACCACCAGCACCTCCCCCTGCACCGCCACCAGCACCACCTCCCAAGCCTCCACCAGCGCCACCGCCTGCACCACCTCCAAACCCACCACCAGCACCTCCACCGCCACCAGCACCACCTCCTAAGCCTCCGCCAGTACCCCCACCTGCACCACCTCCCAAGCCTCCACCGGCACCCCCACCAGCACCACCACCAAAGCCTCCACCAGCACCTCCACCTGCGCCTCCACCACCACCGATTCCTCCCCCTACTCCACCGCCATGCCCACCTCCAATTCCCCCACCTGCACCCCCTCCAGCGCCACCACCTGCTCCCCCGCCAGCTCCACCTCCTACACCACCACCTGCGCCTCCACCAGCACCAGCACCCCCACCAAAACCTCCACCACCACCATCACCCAGGCCACCTCCTCCAAAGCCGTCAAGTACTTCATCATCTTTAATTTTTCGGTGGCATTCCGCTATTCCTATCACCAATACAAATATCACAGCAAGCACTCCAACATACTTTTGTAATTTCCCCATATCTTTGCACGAAGAGAGAAATAATACAGCTGAAACTGAAAACACTTGCTTTGCTTGTGATTACAAATCTTGGCAAAGACGTGTATTTATAGTCTGAAGGAGAGTACGTACCATTAATACCCATAGACCTAAGGACGTCTCACATAGTTCTTTTAACAAACATGGACAAAAGTTTCAAACTTGTTTGGAAGTAGATTTTATTGGCCGGTGATTCATAATTGTCACATCTCAACCATCAACTACTTTAGTCTTTGAGTACTATTGAGTATAAGGGAAGTGATTATCTGGTGTTAAAATTTCACATGATATAGTCATATAAAATTTTTGGGTAGCTGAGTTCGCAGCTGAGCTCCTAAGGGATTGGTTGGTGCATGGATCAAACCCTACCTCAAGCAGTTTCTAGGAAAATCTTTGGGGGCCAGAGGATAAGCCAAAAATCTTCGGTTGAGGGATTAGTCTCGTCCTTTCTCCGGTTGCGAAGCTTAGTGCACCCACTGTTACAATGAGGGGCTAACCCAAACGGGCCGTACCCTGAGGGCATGGTGCCCGGGTTGAATGGGAACACCTCCTGGCAATGTACCAAAAAAAAAAATTGTACTTTTTTTTTCAAATGCATTAAATTGATGTGGTTCAATTATTATTTATAGAAAAAAAGATAGACACAAAAATTTTACCATGTGAAATTTTAACATCTATTCCCTGCTGTGAATAAGAGTGCTAACTACTAGGTACTAACATGTACAAATGAAACTGAAAAGAGCTTTGCTCGAATCTTAAGAATTTATATAAGAATGATTAGTTTAAGTTACAATATTGAAATTCATATATTATTTTTATTACATCGTTTTTAAAAGCTTCTCTAATAATAAAATAAAAATATACATTTTAATACTCTCTCTTTTTCTTGTACCAAAAAATTTAAAAATTAATATGATATGTAAATAACATAACCCTTAATGCATAGTCACAATAATTTGCTCTTATTCGAGTCCAATAGAATGACACTGGTTGGTAAAAATATTCAATGCGCGAGGTAACGAGTCAAGGTCTAGGATGCGGAGCCATTAATTTTCATCCTGTATTCACTCTGAGTAAAATATGTACGTAGCAAATTTTGATATAAAGTGACAGTAATTGCACTTATGAATCAAGAAGCAACGTTTTCAAGAAAAGAAAAAAAAAAAAGAATCAAGAAGCAACGTCTTCATATGGTTCTTGTCATCCATAAATGGCAAGCTTGCCCTACCATGTGTGTAGTATTTGATAGTCCAAACTAGGGCGTAAATGGGCCAGGCTGGGCCCAGCCTACTGCCTGGTCTACATTGAGTCCGGTCCAGGCTCGGCTTTTCAAAAAAGTAGAGTAGACTTAAACTTATAAAAAAAAATTTTTAACAAATAGGTGATAGGCCAATTTTGTCAAGCCCGGCCTACAGCCTTGTAGGCTGGCCTATTTAATTTATTAAAATAAAATAATAAAATAATATTTATTTTATGTGACAAAGACGCAAAGTACCAAATACCAATATCTCTTACTTTTTGTGCTATTTTATTTTAAGAAAGGAAAACTTGTCTAATGTCTCCAAATTTTACATGTTGCAGCTTAATACCATGGAGCAATGGGTACCTTGTTGGATTATGATGTTACTAATGAAGATCTTTCAATAATACTCTTCTTTCCCTTGTCTTGATGGTGGTTTAAAGATTTTTAGATGAATAATATTCTCTTATAGACTTTATTTCAGCATCCAATAATTGTATTTTTCTTATTTTCCCCATTTCTTTGACTCTATTCCTCTATGATATACATTCTAGAGCTGGGTATTATGTTGACTCTTTCTTGTTTGTCATTTTTTTCTTATGAGAAGTATTAGTGCATGCATGAATGAAACTTTCTTTGCTCTATACTATTATTATTTTTGCTTAGTATCTACAGTGGGAGGTCTACAAGGCCTGTAGGCCATGTCAGGCTTTCTTATTTTTAAAAATGGGTCGGACTTGGCCTACAAATAAAGCCTTTAATAGGCCAGTAGGTCAGATAGGCTGAATTTTTTTTGACGTAGGCTTGAGCCAGGAAGGCCAAAGCCCGGCCCAGGCCAGCCCATTTACACCCCTAGTCCAAACCATTATATGGTATTAGCATGTGAGCTACATTTTTAGGCATCATTATCTAGAAAAAAGTTCACAACTTGTAGTGTTTGACCTGGTTTTGGAAACATAGCATTCCAGTGCGTTTAGGCACCTCAGCAGATGCAGAAGTTGCTTCATAAATGCCTAGTAACATGCATATTATCACAAAACATAAATACCAAAAGGTAATTTACCAAAGAAATGACGACATAGAAAAATTAAAGAATGCTGGTTACAAATACCAGCATTTTAATTCGATGGAAATGTACATATTTTTAACAATTTGGGGAAGTAGAATTACCTTTTTCTGGTTATCTTTGTTTTTTTAGATAATATTAAAAAAGAAAAAATGTTTATCATTTTAAATGACACAACTTTGTGTTATTTTTAATGAAACTGCGCCGTTTTAGTGTATTTTTGCATTCCCTCTCCTTTATCCCCCCCTAATTTTATAAAAAAGAGAAAATATAAAAAAATATATATCAAAAACACACCAAAACAACGTATAGTTTCATTAAAAATGACACAAAGTTATGTCATTTAATATGACAAACACTTTTTCCTATTAAAAAACATAAATAATAGCATGTAATTAATGGATAAATCTCTAAACTTTTACAAATTGATAAATCTTTACAAAAAAATATCTAATTTTAAAATTATAACTAATTGATAAATGTCCTTTATAATAGCATGTAATTAATGGATAAAGATGATTTTACTAAAAAAAATTCTTACTAAATTTGTATTATAGAGCTATCATACGTAAGAATTGTTCAAGTCGAATGATTATAACATTTATTTTTGTTAGACTGTTATTTATATGTAATTATATAAATTACCTAAATAAGATTGTTAGAGAAATACAAAATTATTAATGTAACTTCACCAAAAATCTTAATTTTTTGGATTGAATTAGTTTTTTACATAGTATTAATGCCTGTGTAATTAAGTGGTCACGATTTTTTTTTTTTTTTTGGAGTTACCCAACCCTAATTATCTCTTTGAGTCGAGTTGGCTCCCTCCGGTATCCCCACGAGCTTCGACTCTTTGAGCAGGCACCGTTCCTATATTATTAATAAAAAATAATTAAAATGGTACCCTTCAAGCCCAATAAATTATTATTTGAGAGGGCATATTGGATAAATACAAAACTAACTTAACCAGCATCTTAACTTTTTAAGGTTGAGTTAATTCTTTACAAATTTGTAATTTTGTATATGAGTGTATATATTTAAATCATTTTATTAAATTATGGATTTATATATGTTTGTAATTATGCATAATATAAAAAATATATCTAGATAACGTAACGTGCACTTCAAAATTAACTAAGAAATGGATAAAAAAAATACATATTAGGCACTTACCTTCATTTTCAAAATGTAAGAAAAAACGGTACTGATTAATTGAGAATAGCTGGACGTACGGCAGGATCATGTGATCAACTACCAAAAATCTAAGCCATAATGGAGCTATAGCTGTCCAGCAAGACTAGAGATAACATCAGAATTAAAATCTACAAGCACAGATATACAGCATTATTAGCCGAGTTTTATTGGCACATACCACAGTTTCTGTTAGAATCTATGCATTACAATATGTTTATAAATGATATTTTATTATTTTATAGGAAAAAGCTCATAAACCCCAATTGTGATTTATTTTTTTATCACTTACACTCTTATACATTATTTTTTTTGTCAATTACCATCCGTGAAATGATATTTTATAGGAAAAAGCTCATAAATTCTTACTGTAATTTACTTTTTTATCACTTACACTTTTATACATTTTGTTTATCAAGTACTATCCAAGATTTTTTTCCATCGAGTTCTCTTTAATACAAATAATTGAGCTAATTTGTCCATTTTACCCTTATATCAAATAATATTTTAACTTTTCCATTGTTTGGCATTGACTATAAAGTATATAATATTTGGGAAATAATTGTCTCATTTTACATGAGATAACTATCTCATATTTCTCTCACACAAAAAGTTATGACATCATTTTTTCTTTTTTCTTTTTTTAATGGATGGTGGGCTCCACCATATTATGTATCTATAGTAGGAGATACTTATCTCCTACAACATGAGAAAAATAGGACCCATAATATTTTAACTTAGGGCTTGGATATTCATCTTCTTTGTTGTTGCCGTCATTCTGCATTCCGTTGAAAACAAAGGACTATTATTAGATGATGAAAATGATTCTCAAAGTTATAGCTGTTGAAGGAAATTAGTAACTGATATCAACGACTCTGATTTATAAGCATGTGACATCACTGATATTTTTTGATCTAACAGTTCTCAGACGAGGTGTCAAACTTTAAATTTGACACTGGTGTCAAAGGATCCTACCTCATATATATATATATATATATATATATATATATATATATATATATATATATATAGTTTTATTTTTCTCATGTTGCATGAGACAAATTATCTCATGCAACACACAAAAAAGTAGGTGTAACTCACTAAAAAAGAGAGAAAATAAAAAAGTGAATCTCACCCACTTTTTTGTGTGTTACATGAGATATTTTGTCTCATGAAATATGAGAAAAATAAAACTTATATATATATATATATATATATATATATATATATGGGGAGGGTTCTTTTGAATATAGAGTAAGACTTTTAAATCTTACTCATCATCTCAGCTGTTGATGGACGAAAATCAATGGTTGTCATTTATAGTGTAATATAATAATTAATTAATTAATATAACTTCCTAAACTATAACTGTTTGATGGACGGAAATCAACGGTTAGGATAGCGAGTAAAACTTATAAGTCTTACTCTCGAGTCAAATGATCTCTCTCCTATATATATATATATATATATATATATATATATATATATATATATGGTTTTATTAATTTCATGTTAAAGGAGATAATTATCTCATGTCATAGAGATAAATTTGTGAGCTCCACCACCTGAAAAAATAAAAGAAAATATAAGAAAAAAATGGCACAGTTATAGAAGAGTGTGTATGAGAGAAAACTTATCCCATGTAACATGAGAATAGTTTTTCTCATATATATATATATATATATATATATATATATATATATATGGGTCAGGATCATTTTACACCAGTGTAAGTTACACTCTCAATCTTATCCGTTGATTCCATTTATATCTAACGGCTAATTTTTTTTTAGTAATGTGAGCCATTGGATACAAGTGGATCAATGGTCAAGATTGAGTGTAAGACTTCTAATTCTTACACCGGTGTAAGAATATCATGCCCCTATATATATATATATATATATATATATATATATATATATATATATATATAATGTGATTGAGAACTAAATTAGCTACCTGATTACAAAAAAAAATTAGCTACCTGACATTATACTAACTCAGGCTACCTAGCGGTGTGGGGTGTGTGTGTTAAGAATGTGTGTAGTGTAGGGTGTTGTGTTCAATTCCTTGTAACCTCAACAACAACAACAACAACAAAAAAAACCTCAGGTTACCTCTTTCCTCAAGTGTTGCTTGATCAAATCATTTATAATTTTATATCAGCTTCCCAATCGACACAATCTATTGTCACCTCCAATTCTTTTAGTAATATGTCAGTATAACGGAAAATTTGTGGCAATGGCGAAACACCAATTTTTTCAAACATGGTAAATTCAAGTTGGAACTTCCCGAGTAAAATCTTTCAAGTTTTCGGCAACCAGGATAAATGCAAAATCTCATGCCACTGGAGCTAAATTAAATGATAAAACGGACAATTTAACTAAATTATTAACAGTGTTAAAAGGGGGCTTGAATGGAAAAAAAATTACACGGAATAATTGATAAAAAAAATATAGAGGTATAAATGATAAAAAAATAAACTATAAAGTGATTTATGAATTTTTTCTTATTTTATAACATGTATTGATTTAAAATATAAAATTATTTTAAATAAAGCAGATATATATTATCATGTCTTGAGACTTGATTAATTCATAGCCGCATGACCCTTCTTAGTCATGATTTAATTTCTTACCAGCATTTAATTGTAGGTTGAAGGATTTGTTCAGTCAATTGAGATTATCTCTGATGAGTCTAAAATGATATTGTTTTGGGACAGAAATTAAGATATTTTTGTAATTCTAATATATTGCAAGGTTATATTAGTGTTTATCATTATAATTTTTTAATCTTATAATCCAAAACGACATTGTTTTGAGCTCACTGGATATAATTTTATCTCTAGTGACTAGAGAAATAATTTTCCCTTAATTGTAACTTGTATCTAGGGGTATAAATATGTTTGACTAGACTTTGACTTAAATATGCCAAGTCTGTATAAAAAACCTTAGGGCTGATCTGACCTGTTAGCTTATGCAGACCTAAATTACAAGTATGGCCTGATCGATATTTAAAATCAACAAAATTGGCCCTATGCAATATCCACATTTCAAGCCCAAAGGGCTCTTACGTGAGAGAGAGTGTTAGAGAATAATATAAATTCTTAAAAAAGCCATCACCTAACATCAATCTTTAGCGTTGTGAATGCAAACAATGATATAACCTTTGAAGTGGTCGTAGAAAATCCATCATTGGGTCAAATGGTAAGAAGGAAAGAAGGCAAATAAAAATGGCTAAAAAAACAAATAAGGATAGGCATGGTGAATCTCATACCATGGAAATTACTCCTATTGCCAGAACTACTTCTAAGGCATGAACTTAGCGCATTAATTTTTAAAGGGAAATGTTATAAATGGACACTACTGATATAATTAAGTGGACATTACTACAATTTATTATTTGAAAAGATAATGAGATTGTCATTATGGAAAGTTGTAACTATTGTTCATTTCCTTCACTCTAGAAGTAGTTATATGGCTCAATTAAGGGCACTTATACATATTGGGCTTTTTTTTTTCTTTTACCAAGTTTTTCCCAATAGTTTTTTCTTGGCCAAAGATTTTTAATGAGGCGTGCAATGTTTTATAGCATATGTACTATTTTTTCTTCGCTTGTTTTGCCCATTGGATTTCTTAGCAAGGTTTTAACAAGACATATTAATGGTATGAAGTGTTGTAAAATATAAATTTTTTTACATGTGGATGATTATTGGAATACAAGAGGTTTATGTAACCTTTTTTTTCCTATGACTTTTGGTATGAAATGTTATCACTACACTAACGATGTATTGAATGAAGTGTACTTATTCCCTTTATTCATGTATAGTCCTATACAATGACATGACTTGTATGAAATATTAGATGAGTGAATTAGAATTTGATAATATTTTTATGCTTTCCTAAGAGTTCATGTCTGATCTTCGTATATTTTCTCTCTTCAGTTTCCTTTCTCTATTCTCTCCCTTTATTTTATAACACTAGCACAACCCCTTTGCCTTAAAATAAATCTTATGTCCTCTATTTTATAACAAATTTATATTTTTTTTTAAAAAATAAATTTTATGTTTTCAATGCAAACATATTTGGGGAGGGACCAAGAGATTTAAGTGTGGTTAAGCCTCGATTAGGATAACTAAGTCTCAATTAGGGATTAATTTTATAGTCGATTTAAAGAGTTGAAAGTTGAAACTTATGAAAATACCAAGAGATCAACTCGCCTTAAAAAAAATAATTAGAGTGAGTATAAAAAAAATACTTCTATATCAATTGAGCTAATTAGATTTGTCATTACATGTAGGTTTTTAACAATCTTTTGCTTTACATAGGTTAACATCTCTAAATTGTTTTTCTAATGAAAATACTATATTATGAATATTCGTTACCAACATTAAAAAAAAATAAAAAAAATAAATCAATGAGAATTAGTACATTATCTATTTATGTTGGTTGCTGTTCAGATTTCTCTCTTTTGGTAAGGTATATACAATTTTACCATAAATTCTTATTGAGATTAGTATTTTTTCTAACCTGGCAAAAGAGTATGTCTTTTCTTAATCTAATTTTTTTTTTCCCTAAAAAAATCATTTAAAATAATAAGAAGAAATTTCATGGATTGCTTAGCCTATTGGGCTAATTATGCAAGAGGCTTTAGGCCCAAGGGTCCCACTGTCAGCCCAATAAACCCGAAGATCCATATTGCACATACTATGGGAAATGTTGTTTTGTTTTTGGTAGAATAAGAAATGAATTTTTTTTCCTCCTCGACTAGTGTAGTTCGAGAGTTCCATTCGGTGTGTTGTTCAACTGCGTTTTAGGGCAAAAAGTTTGAATTGAGAAAGGGAAAAATGGAGGGTGCAGACGAAGGAGTAGAAATGGTTGTGGACTCCAAAGACTTGCAGCAGCAGAGCAAAGCTTTCGACAAGCTCACAGATCGCGTCGAGGATCGCCAGCTCGATTCCACTCGCGTCCAAGAGGTTCCTCTCTTTTCTCGTGTTTTCTTAGAAACCAAACATTGCCATACAATTTCACATCTGCGGATTGATTCGCAACGAAACTGAATTTTGCGGTATTTTCTAACGATCTTCGCAGGCGATGGCATCAATTTCTGCATCTGCCGAAGCGGACTGGAACGCCATGCGTATGAGGTAATCAAAGTTTCGGTTAACTGTCTTGAGTTTTTCAGTTTCTACTTTCTATATTGTATAAATGATTTCTTAACTTTTAACTTTTAATTTTATTTTCTGATTATAGGGAGAAAGAATTAGCTGCGGTTAAGATAAACGCTGCAGATGTTGACATAATCGCAAATGAACTAGAGGTAATTTTTTTACAAGTTCATTTTTCTTTTTAATCTTTCAATTAATTTATATATTTTTTCTTATTTATTGTTTCCAACAGCTGGACAAAAAGGTGGCTGAACGAACCTTGCGTGAGCATAAAGGTGATGCTGTTGCTGCAATTCGGCACTTGCTTCGCTAAGCGTTGTGGGGAAGTGTTAATGTTTCCCAATTTGATACTTATCTGGTTGTTTGTTTTGCATTGAAATTTGAGTATCAAATGAATTCCAAGACCTTACTTGTTCAGATATCTTGTAACCATATCATATGTGCCAAAAGCATAGCCATATAAGGGAGCTAAGATCAGCCAAGTTGCTTGCATTGTTCTGTCTTATGTTTTAGTGCTGACTGTAACCGTGGCTTTGACGAGACATGGAGCTCAATATAAGAAGTTAGAACCAATAAACTAATGCTTCATGAGGGCTAGGGACATGGAGCCAGGAGTAGATTATGTTATTTTTTTTTTATACATTTTTTTGGCATTGATAGTTTGAAGGTAGATTTTCTAGCTGGAAATATGGGGAGTGTGATTTGAACACAGGGCATCACCTTATGGGAGCACCCGTTGGATCTACAGTGCTAGTTTGTGCTGTGTTAGAGATGGGAGTAGTTGGTGTCATATGTCTCCATGTTTGTCATTTATGTATGCTCATTTGCTTGTTTAACATATTGCTGCTCAGTCATGTTCAATTAACTTCTCAAATTGAAAACTCTGCACTTTACATCCTCTTGAAAATTCTTCTGGGGACAGTTTGGGAAAATAGTATTTCCATTATATTACATCCAAGTCGATAAAGCCTAGATTCTCGCGTGCGTTACTTCTAGTTGACATTTTCGGGAAGGAAGCGTCCACGATATTTTTGCTTACTTCTGCGTATTCAATGCGATTCATATAGAAAAGTTTAGCTGGCTCCAGACCCTGCAACAGTTCCCCATGTTAATGTGCCTTTTCTTTCTTTATGCTCACACCTTCATGATGTTTTTAGAGTCACTAATTTGTCATCCTATTTCTTTGTTTGTTCGGGAATACCCCTGGTTACATCACCTGAAAGTATAATTCCACATTACAAGTCATAAAAGCCTCGTACCTAGATCCTTCAGTAGGCCTCGTAAATTCCTAACTGGTGGAGTTCTTTCATATGAATTACAAGATGCACGAGAAAGTGGAAAACTGATCTTTTCATGTGTAAATTTCACATTATCCTGTGAAAGTTTTATGTCTATATCTCTCTTTATAAAATTTAACAAGTATTGATTGAGCTCCATTCTTTTAACCCTTGTTAGAGGAGAGATTCACACAATTTTTCACATAATCAGGTTATGTATATTTTTGCATGAGAATCTAATCTCTGCGAAAGTGTGGCTCCCCTATCATGTCTTTTTTGATATCATTCCTTACATCATAGTTCCACAGTTCCACTTGTCAACAATAAACTTGGCAGCAGGGAAAAAAAATCCAAATGATCAATAATATTCTCCTTGAGCATGAGCTCATACAATATGGTTTAGAATATAGATTATATCACTCTAGTAAGATGTAACACTGTTATACGACACAATTTGGTAGAAATTAAGGGTATGTTTGATTGTATTTTGGTTTTTTTTCTTAAAATTGTTTTGAAGAATAGTTAACGAAATAAGTATTTTTATATTTTTTTTTTGTTTTGAAAGTTTAAAGTTAAAATATAAAATTAAAATAATTTAGATATGTTTTTCAAATTTGATTCTAAAAATAAAAAAAATAGTTACAATTTTTAAATTTTTTATACAAAACAGATTTTATTAAACAAGTTTTTTTTTTATTTATAAAATTTAAAGAACTATTTCTCGAAACAGGTTTCTAACATTCCTTAAGAGTTGAGTTTTCCTATTTCTTTGTACTTTTGTGCATGGAAGTGATGGGCGTATCGTCATAACTTGAACGTATGGACAATATGGTATAGTTTTTTTTTTCAAATTACATTCACCTCAACCACTTAAGATTAAGTAGTTGTAAGGATTCATTTTAGTTTTTGAGGTCTTCATAAGCAAATAGTTCACCACAAAAAATTGGGGTTAAGGAAAGAACCCAAGAAGCAAAATTGGCAAAAGTTTTTTTGACGTGTTTCATCAGCCGCAGGGGAGCAGATGTAGGTCGAGTTTGTCTTGCGCAACTATGTGAGGTGGGTAAAAATTGACATTTTAGTAACGCAGAAGAAAGTACCACGTCAACTTTAATTTAAGAAATTATGATGAGCAGAGTTGGAACAAATTAATCAAAGAAGGTTTACTTATCATCAATTAAATTTATCACTTATCATTAAATTTGAACCATTATTTTCGTTAATTTGATGATTATAATTTCTTGAAAATTAATAATTAACTAATAAGTGTCATCCAATAAATTATAACTGTCAAATTGACGAATCAATAGTTAAGATTTTATAATAAGAAGTAATAAATCTAATTGGTGGTAAGTAAATTCCGTTATATATATATATAACAACTTTATTACGATCAAAAGACTCAAAATAAAACATTTCTCAGATATAATTCCACCCCCCACCCCAAAAGAAAAGAAAAAGAAAGAAACGAAACGAAAAGAAAGCACAACTCTGCATACTAGTCATCTATATGTGAAGTTTAGACAGAATCTTAAAAGGTACAGTATCAACAGCAAAGATGCAAAGTTGTGAACTTTCTTGTAAGCCTTCTTAATTTTTTTAAATCGTGATAGTATATTACTCAGTTTATTATACCAACAACTACTACCACTGCTAGCTAATATTGAGAAAACAACAATTTCTTTGTAACATAGCATCCGTTCAGTAATCTGAACTCTACTGTCTTCTTGTTCCGTTAATATTAAAAACAAGGGCTCAGCCTATAGAATGTACATGCAATAGAATTGCTATCTTTACCTGGAATTCTTGTATATTCTCATTCGATTAGTTGAATTAAAACGGGCCAATCGAAATGCCAGTCTAACGTGGTGAGCTGCACTTTGTTGCTTCAAGTGGGTAATGATAGAGATGCAACACTATAAAGCAGATGAACATTCTGATTCTAATCAATGTAGTCAAATGAATATATTTTTTCCTTCTCACTACCTTCTGTACAACTTTTAAATAGTGGTGCAAACATTTGCATAGACAATTACAACGGGGGTGGTCATCTCACAAGACTCCAAACATACAGCACCACCAATAAATTGAAGAAACTTTATGTTGCCACTAAAGAAAAATAAAATGACTAACCTAACCACCATTGAGAGTTTGGCAATCCCCACCACTTTTTATATCATTCTATACACCTTCTCTATAATACCTTGACAAATGTTGATAAAGAAGAACTCAGACCAGCCATTCTACATGGTTCCAAGACCAGCCGTTTGTACCAATTCATCTACTTGAGGAACTTTGGTAAAATATATGCCAAAAAAATCCTTATGCATCAGCCACAAAGTAACAGAAAGAAAAAATAGCTCCAAGGTTGTGTCTAGGACTCCTTTTGGGCGCTTTCCCCACCTGCGGATCGGGCTGCCTGGAACTGAATGGCATACTGCTTTTGCAGCTCTCTAAGCCTTTCAAGAAGTTCCCGAAATGTTGGTCGGCAAGTTGGATCACTGGAAGGAATGAACAAACTTATAAGTTGGCATAAGATGTTTGGTAATAGTACCACCTTGGCTTCAATATTAATGGAGTAAGACTATCAAGAGGTAGAAAAATAGATTACTAAGAATTTGCACAAAAAACATTGTGATCAGCAAAGTCAACAATCCAATGCCAATTACGAATATGAAATCCGGGCCACATCATGTAAAGAACCTTGACGTCACCACCCCAAAAGCTAGCTCAAAGGGTGGGAGTGTCCAAGGCCTTAAAAACTCCACATTAGTTGCACATACAACCAGTGGGACTATATAATATCTCAACACGCCCCCTCACACGAGAGCCCACTGGGCTTGAAGGGTGGACAATGCACAGGCCCACCTACCTGTGCGAACAAAGAAATTCCACTTGAAATAAAGCTAGCTTTTGGGGTGGTGTATCTCAAGGTTCTTTACATGGTATCAGAGCTTGAGCCCTCACCGCCTCCCACTTTAAAGTGGAATTAGCTTAAGTTTTTGGGTTGAATTGGTTCTTTACATGGTATCAGAGCGTCGCCGTCCCCCACTTTCTCTCGTGTGAGGGGGCGTGTTTATAAGGTCTTGGGCACTCCCACCCTTTGAGCTAGCTTTTGGGGTGGTGTATCCCAAGGTTCTTTTCATGGTATCAGAGCTTGAGCCCTCACCGCCTCCCACTTTAAAGTGGAATTAGCCTTAAGGTTTTGGGTTGAGACATGGTGTCGGATCCACTTGCTACGGTTGGTGTAGCCTTAGCTCATTGGTGGTGGTTCTCCGCCACGGACTTCCCCTGGACCCGCTTGACATTGGAGTTTGAGGGAACGAATTTCCCAACACTGGTATCAGAGCCGGATTGGGCTCGAGCTAGCTTTTGGGTGGTGTATCCCAAGGTTCTTTACACATCATCAAGTATGTTACCTAATATTGAAAAAATATAAGGGCCAATAATTCCAGTTTGATGAAACAGCAATCGATATGAAGATTGTTTAGGTAAGCTGGCCAACTACTATTAGGACCAAGTCAAATTTAAATTGATCTATGTTCTTTTGGGTAATAACATTTAAGCTTGGATATTCAGAGCTATGGACAAAAAAATAAAAAGTAATTATTTAACAAAGAGATGACAATGCACACCTATGCCAGCAGCTCTCAATTATAGAAGCCCACCGTGGATCAATATGTTTTGGGATTTCTAACCGCTGGTTCATGAACCCTACAGCTCCAATCACCTGCGAGATTCCTAGAGGAACAGTTGATCATATATGCACCCACAGTGTACATGATTGCGTTGAAAAATTCTTTATATTCGATATGATATCAGAAGAACTGGGCAAAATATTTATTGGATAGAATTTCCCAGTCAGCATGGACTTGAGGTTAGAATAAGAGTAATTCAATAAACTATATAAGCTGCAAACCAACTAAGCAATTTAAACACCTAACTTGCATTCTATATGGTAACATAGTTGTGGAATAACAAATCTTACAAAAATGTAAATGTTTCACCAACAATGAAAAACACATTTTGCTGGTAGCTTTTCATTCAATAGGCTTAACTATCATTGCATTTTGCGCCTCTTCCCTTTTCGATATATTTTCAAAGGTTCAAGTACACATAAAAGCAATACCTGCATTGAGTTGAGATTATCCCAAGGGATCTTTTCAGTTGCAAGTTCCCATAATATCACCCCAAAGCCGTATACGTCAGACCTGATGTTCCCAAGAAGCATAAAAAATAGATATTGAAAATTTTTGGGTAAAAACATGAGTGGGAGAGACTAATTTGGGGCAAAGATTGGTCATACTTCTCGTCTGAGGGTTCATTACGAAGAACTTCTGGTGCCATCCATTGAGGCTACAAAGCAGGAAAATGATAGAATCAGAAAGATGTTCTGAGACTCCGTAGCAGTGAAATTGTAATAATAGGGACAATTTCAAACAGATCAAAGATTTCATAGCCCAGAAAAAACAAAAGATGAGCCTACCGTGCCCCTCCCTTTAGTTGTGAGATATGTTTCTAGCTTAAGACGTGAAAGACCAAAATCACCAACCTGTTCAGTGAATACATGATTAAGATATTGTCTAGCTTAATAGAAAATAATGTTAGTGAAAGCTTCCAACCCAACATTCTAGGATAAATACAAAAAGTGACAAGTGGCGGACCTTCACAGTCCAATTTTTATCAACTAGAATATTTGAAGACTTCAAATCTCTGTGGATGATAGGCGGGTTACAATGATGAAGATAATTTACGCCTCGTGCCTGCAGAAAGAGTTAAGCTGTAAGCATACAACATTGCTTCAAACAGAGTGAGAGATGCATTCTAAGATACCAATGAAATTTATGTTTCCTATAACAAGTAAAAACCATGTAGTGCTCCAAGCACAGAAATCCAAAATGAATTAATAACACCAAAAAAAGGGGAAAATAAAGAAACTGAATAAGTCACTTTTCCAACAAAAGAAGTCAGCATCATAACAATGAGATATCTTTATGTAGAAGGAATATCATTTGGTCCATAATTCTATTACCAAATACTCACAATATCCAAGGCCATATGAACTCGCCGTCTCCAATCAAGTTTGGATGTGTTTCTGTGTAACAAGCGGCACAAGCTTCCCCTGAATTCATAAGTTACGAAAGAAAGCAACAATAATCAGCCCAGCTCAGTATTTTGTGACATGCTGCATAACAAACTAGAATCAAAATGCTCATCATACAAGGGGTCAAAAGGAAGGTTCAGAACAAACCGTGGGAGAAACTCTGTCACAATGCAGAGACGTTGAGGAGAAGTCACTGCCCCCATAAAAAGAAGAATATTTGGGTGTCGAAGTCTTTTCATCACAGACACCTTCATTACACAAAATATTGTCAAATCAAGACAAAAGAAGTATTTAAGGGGATGCCAAGCACCTAGGACAGGAGGTTCAAATACACACAGAAACTACATCTAACAGAGCAGAATATGTCTGATTGTGGAAGTAGAAGAAAAAAGTAATCAAATAGGAACACACGACAAAGTAGAAGAACAAGTCACAGCTCCACATTAGCTGAATTCTGAAGAGTACTTCAATATCAAACCCAAGGTAAACCTGAGAGCTAAGGGTGACAATACTACACAATCCGTTCATACGACACGAACATGACACAAAAATTTTGTATTTGAATTGACCTACATTATATTTGTTTTGTGTTCGTGTTACAAAATATATTACGAAAAAATTTATTGTGTTGCCTGTCATGTCTTCTTCTGAATTATTCATGTCGTGTGACATTGGTGAAAACAACATTTATTCGATTATTAGTGACAATGTCATGTCAACCTGCATAATAAGCAGAACACTTCAAAGTTGATAGGTTATTCATGTCATGTTGTGTGTCAACCCGCAAAATGAACTAGTCGTGTTCGTCTTGAGAGCCTTGACACGAATCTTTATTTGTACCACAAATCTTTATTTGCACCATGTTCAGGTAAGTGTATTCATATTTGTGTCAGACTTTGACCCAACTCGAATATGACCTCTTACACGAATTGTCACCCATACTGATAGGTATGGGCTATGGCTCCACCCAAAGCTCAGTGAAAAATTTATTTATTCTTTTTTCAAATTTAGAAATGGACTCTTGTTGGAAGATGTAAAACTATGTGGCTAATAACAAGATGCTGACTAATTAAATAGTATTGTACTTGAAAAACAACTAATGAAGATAAAAAGTCATTCAATCAAAAAGGAGACCAAAACTTTTTATTTCCTTTTTATAAATAAAGGATTAAAGTGAGTAGTATTGTGGTATGCTTGACCTTAGAATGGGGCAACCTCCCCTTCTTCTAAACTTTTTCAACGTTAAAAAAGTGATTAAGATAAGAAGTACTTATCTCTCAGTTTAATCATCCGTATTCATACCATTGTGGCTAATCAGACTTAACTATATTCAACGAGTTTTATGGTATGAAAACAATGCATTTATCATCCATTTTAAACGAATGGCTTTACACCGTCTTTGGTATCCACTCTATTCTAGGCCAAGTTCCCAAAAATAAAATTTCCATTGTGTCTGAAAAAAATCCACTATGATATGGCAACATTATGTTTCTTTATCCCTGAATTAGTCACCTTCAAGTTTATACAAACTTTTAGAATTGAACATTATTTCTTATTTTTATTTGTAGCTCATCCCCCTTCAAAACTTATAGATGCTTTTAATTGTAAGTATATATATTTTTTTGTTTATCACATAAATAATTGTAATTTTAAAGAAAAAATTATATCATAATTTTGTCCCCTTCAAAAAAATTTCTGGCTCCACCATTGACCTGAATCATTTACTTTAAATTAGAAGCATAAACCATATTTATCTCTTTCATATGCTTTCCAAATTCAACAGGATGATTATTGATCCTTATCTAAAATAATCTAACGTAGGAAAGCAATCTCACACACGTATCATTCATTAATCAATGAACCAAGTTCACGTATTAGAGGCGTCTGACGCCAAACGTGTATGTGGATTGGTGCGTCACATAAAAGCAATAAATGGTAAAAAAAAATAAAAGCGGCAAGTATGATTTCATTGTGCAAACATCATCGAAATAAAATCCTCAGAGGAAAACTATAATATTCTAATCAATTTTTCTCTCCCAAATGCATCAGCAACCAGAGTTGTTTTGAAAACCTATGCTGACTTCCTCACTTTATGGATCAGATTCAGCCTGTGGCTCAACATAATCAGCAAAATTGAGTACAAGAAAGCATACCTCTTGTCTGAAGGACTGTATCACATCATCTGAATATTCTTGCTGTGAGAAAACCTTGACGGCAACGTCCTACAAAAACAAGAATACAAATTGACATCAGAATTGCAGACAGTAAAATGTGGTTTGTCAACCTATAAAAGAAAATTTCTAACATTCTCAACCTTAGAGTTGCCATACAGTACACATTTCATAGTCCTACCAGAAATCCTATGATGCCTTAATTCAAGAATGCTGAATTTAACACACTGAAAGACCTCAGTATACTAAAGGCTAGTAATTCCAGTTGCAACATAATCACACTTTGCACAATCAATATATATGAAAAAGTCAAATATGCTCTTGCACCCCAAAAAGGGGAGAAGGAAAAGAAAGCATCAACAAAATCTTTAAGTTCTGGTAAGTTGCTTGTAGAATATCCTTTTATAATGCATGAACTTAAAACCAGAAATTACAGGAAGAGAAAAGAACATACTGATCCATACCACAGAGCATGATATACAGTTCCACGAGAACCTGCAATTCAACAACAGAGAGGTATATAGGAAATGGGTCAAGCATAAAATGCATAATAAGTTAATAACTGCTGATAACTAGATATTTGGGTTTGCGAGCATGGGCTCCATAAATTATCAGGGCTCCATAAAGAAGCAAACAAAGTTTCAAACATAAGAACTATAAATACCGATAATGTGTCAAGATTCTTAAACAAATACTTGTTAAAACATAGATATTGTCAAAAGCTTATGTTCTCAGGCTTTCCCCTTTAGTTAAGAACGTGACTACCTTGTCCAATTTGTTCTCCAATTGTCAGGTCCTCCCACAAAATTTCATAATCTAAGCAATCAGTGTCCACATCCACTTTATTATTGACAGCACAACTGCCAGCACTCCCACAGCTGCTGACACTACTTGTGCTGTTGACATTAAAAGAGGAGGACCATGATCCTGAAGCCTCATTGTTAATAGGGCGATTACTTTCGACTGTCTGGCTTTCTTGCTTCAAGCCAGAGGAAAGAATATTCTCATTAACTGACTCATTTTCTTGATCATTCTGCCTCGACAGCCATGCAACACGAACATTGCTTGCTGCTGATCCTTCTCGATCATTTTTTCTCCATGGCCACGATAATGTTTTCTTTTGAATCCAAGCTTCAGCCTTAGAAGGTATGATTTTATGAATAGGTTTTCCTTCACTCTCATCACCAGAGTCTCCCACAGTCTTTCCTTGCGATTTTTCTTCAACATGAGAAAGTACACCAAAAGGGGATTGTAGCACATCACCTCTGGGTGTGCTAGCTCCACTGGAATTAGCATCCTCTCTCTGGTCTGAAACAACAGATTCTGAGAAATTATGCTCAGAATGATGAATTTCTCCTCTACCGCCTTCAGGATTCACATTATTTTCTCCTGTCCAGATTCTTGACATAACTTTGCTACTCACCTTTGATGCCTGTTTAATGGTTCTAATATCAAAACACACCATGGTATACTAAATGACAGAAACATGAAACTTACAGCACTAACCAAATTTGAAATTTTCGATGCCAGAGCAACTTGAAGTGGCTGTTGAGTGTCAAGACCAAGTTTATTTGTAATGCTACTTCTAGGAAAGGTGGAACCTGAATTTGATTCAGAGTTCTTTACACCTGACAACGGAACTCTCATTTCAAGAAAGGACCGCGAATCACTTGAGACACAAATAATCCCAACTAAGCTTCCATCATCATCATAGAAAGGTGTATTAGTTGCTACAGCTACAAACTTCTCTCCCATCTTATTCTTGACCGGGAATTGCCCAGTCCAGCTCTCTCCCATTATGACACGGTTCACTGTATCATTGGCCAAGGCCAAATCCCTGGAATCTACAAGAAGCTCCATCCCGTCCTGGCCTAGAGCTTCCTCAGCTGCATAACCATACAAATTTTCGGCACTACGGTTCCTGCAAAACAAAATTAATCCCAAAATAAATAAAAGCTTTTAATGCAGCCTCCCAGAATTTAGCAATCAACATGATAGAACAATATAATAAAACTTAAGTTGAAGGCATATCATCTCCAAATGCCAAAAGTATAGATATATATAAAACTTGTATCTCCATTTATCACCAAAAGAAACACCCACATAGTAATACTTCTTCATTAACTAATGAATTGAAATAAAAACAAACCAAAAAAAGAAAGAGAGAAGCGTGAAATTAATGACCGACCAGTATATAATACGAAAGCTAAGATCCAAAATATGAACAGACTGTCCCATTGACTGCAAAATATTCAGATACTGGCGTTCAGTGAAGTTCACAGCGGAAGGTCCACAGCGTGCACGGCCTTCTCCTTCTCCATCACCGCGACTCTCTCTTGAAAGAGGCGATGATTGTTTGAAGGAACAAGAACCCTTCTTCCAAGCAGATGCTCCATCAGTTCTCCCCAATCTTGAACGCTGCGGAGACACGGAGTGAGACCTCTGGCGATGACCGTGGTTCTGGTTGCTTCTGCAATCGGAGACCTTAAGCTTTGACATTTCTCGCTTAAGGTTTGCGTGTCCCTCCTCCAGTTGTTGGATCTTCTTCAGAAGCTCCTCTGTTCCTGGGGTTCCCATTCTTACCTTATTACCCACAAGGCCACAACACACAACACAACCCTCTTCAGAAGTCTCCACTAACAACATTCATTTATTTTCTCTCGCTCTCTCTCTGTGTTTGAATGCTACAAACAAAGACAGCTGATAAATTTCACGGCCAATATCACACAAAGAGTTATGGGTTGAAATTGAATAGACAAAAAAGATTGCTCAAATTTTCAATTCAAGTTGAAGGTCTTATCTCTGACTCTCTCTTTCTAACAGTCAATAACTTGCTTCATCTAGCTGCTGCTCTTCACATCACCCTTTTTTTCTTCTTACAAGAAAATAAAATAAAATAAATTATTCTCAGCTTGTTTTTTCTTATTGCTTTTCTCCTTTGCTTTTGTTTATTCTTACTTCAACTCTCTCTTTGTAGGTAGGATGAAGTTCAATCTCATCATTAATATCAAAATCATCCAGCTATTTAGACCAAAAGAAGAGTTAATTAAATACATCGTACAACTTAACAATAATTTATATAAAAAAAAAAAATACATCATAAAACAACAACAAAAATGTTTCCACGCGCCAATTGTTGTGATACGTGGAAATGGTCATATGGACATTTTAATATTGGACCAATCGGGTAAGAGCGTCCTCGCAACCTCCTTTCCAGCGTTTGCTTCAGTTAGCTAACCTACTATGTCTTTTTAGTTTAAAGTCGCTTCATTCCCATTGGTTCATTCTCCCACCATCACTTTTTATATATATATATTTTTTCTTTGTACAGAATATTTTCTCTTCAAGAAGACTCCACTTTTTTTAGTTTGATTCACACAATACTGCCAATATTTTTTCAGTTTTTCCTTTGATTGCAAATTTTGGAATGTGCCATCCGAAAACAATATGAAACAAAATCTTAAGTAAACAATACACTTTTTTTTCTTCATATTTTGGGTGATGATTATTAAATATTCTCCCTGTATCTGGGTATGTTTTTAGGGGGGAAAAAGCAACAAGTTATAATAATTGATAAAAAATTAAAAAATAATTTTTTCATTTTTCCTTTTTTTCTGTATGTATATATATTTTTCATAATTTTAATGTTTAGTTTTTTTATTGAATAATTATAACTCAACCTATTTTTCTCTTAAATATACTGATTATTTTAAAATTTACTTATTGGCTGGAAAATTAAAAAAGACCCACGTTAATTCTATTTCTAAGGAGTAAGGACTACAGGTCATACGTGGGAATTTACTTTTTTGTCAAATGTCAAAATTCTAATTCTTTTATTTTTTTCATTTTTTTTATAGTAAAAATAGAATATCATGATAAAGGGATACAGCCGCCATTCAACTAAGCTAAGCTTTATCAAAAGGCCGAACGTCTGAAAAGGAAATCACGGCTTTGTTGCCTTAAAGCTGTCTAAATCAAATAATGTTTGCGTTCACTCTTTCTTAGGTAGGTAATCTAACAATCAAAAAATGATTATGCCGTTAAAAGAGAAAAACATCTATTCTTCTTCTGTCAAAAAAGAAACCTAACGTTTTCAATTGATCGTATCCTTTTTCTTTTTTTTGTTGGTGTATTACTTTTTTTTTTTTTTTTTTTTTAAATAAAGAGGGGCTAAGCCCCAGAAACAGAAAGAAATTACAAATCAGAAACTAACAAGCTAGACATATTTCTAGCATCAGCAACTATAAGTTCCATCAACTGAGGAGGAGGATCTTTAAAAATCTTGAAATGGAGATTATTAGTCTGCCCAGCTTTAGCTAACCAATGAGCACATTTGTTGTTTTCTCTCTTGGTATGAACAAGATGAATAGTCCAATCTGCTTTTAACCATAATCTCAATTTGCTAGTGACTTGAGAGTCCCTAGGATCTTCATGCTGCTCCTTTAACATCTGGATGGCTTGGCTAGAATCACATTCTAGTTCTATTCTTTTTAATCCTGTTCCTCAAAGCAGTTCCAAACCTTTCAGTAATCCCCATAATTCTGCATCAAGAGGATTGCAGGAACCTAAATTACAATAGAAGCTTCCCAAAAAGGATCCATTGTGATCTCTTAATATACCACCACAACTAGCTTTTTTCATGCCACTAGAAGAAGCTCCATCACAATTCAACTTAACCCACCTTTGCTTGGGGGCTGTCCAAACGCTATCGTTGGAATCACCACTACGCTGATAAATTCGGGCTTGCAGAATCTGTTGGACAAACATCCAAATTGAAGCCTGCGATTGCTCATCATGACATAAATGATCTTCATGGATCTCCAAATTTCTCCACTTCCACAAAAACCAACAAGTAGTAAAGAAAATATCCCTCCAGTCCTTCACTTTATTGGAGGACCACATGTTATCGATATTTAAAGTCAACCAATCCTGCAAATTCGAATTCATAAAGGAATTGGGTATCGAACCTGTAAACCAAGATTGCCAAATTTTCCTAGCATGTCTACAATCACGAAGAACATGAATAATAGTTTCCTCATGATTTGGACAACTTGGACAGACATTTGAACCTCCACACCACTTACTGGTTCTGCTGCGCACTGAAAGTTTAGCAAGCAAAGTCATCCACATAAACACTTTCACTCGTTCAGGTCCATTCCACGACCAAACTTTTTTCCATAAGCTAGTGTGAACATCTGCTGGGAAGTTCATAAGATTACAGTAAGCGACCTTAACCAAAGAAGTTGAGTGATGATTATTGATCCAAACTAATCTATCCTCCCCATTCCTTGGAATAAGCCAGAGATGATTTGTTACTGCATCAGCCAAATCTGACTCCAGAAATTGATGAACAACTTCAAGACGGAAACCATCATCCACCATGTAATTTGCAATTGATTTCTGACTCTCCTCCCACGGCACCTGATTGCTCGACAACTGCTGCAAATTTTCCTCCCATCCCAACCAGTTATCAGTCCAAAGCTTTACTTCAGAACCATATGCTATTTCCCATCTAAGACCAGCAAGAAAATTACTCCAACATTTAGCAAGATCACACCAAAGTTTAGAGTCATATGATTTTGCCTTTATACCTCTCCTTAAGTCTTGACCTCTACCATACTTGGCTACTAAAATCTTAACCCATAAATCATCTTTCTTAGTTAACACCTTCCACGCCAGTTTATGAATATAAGCTTCATTTTGGAGTCAAAGATTAATTATTCCCAAACCACCTCTATCTTTGGGTTTATACATTTGATCCCAAGCTACTAAATGAGCCCGCCTTCTGCTATCCTGATCTCCCCAAATGAAAGCCCTTTGTATCTGCTCAATTTCATCACAAAACGTTACTGGTAAAAGACCATTCTGCATATGGAAAGAAGGGATTGCAGCAATGACTGATTTCACCAAAGTAACTCGACCAGCAAAAGAAAGGCAATGGCTTTTCCAACCATCCAGTTTTGAACGTATCCTATCCTTGATAGCTCCATAGTCTGCTTTAATATATCTCCCTTGTTTAACAATAGAGCCTAAATATCTGCCAATACTAGAAGTGCGCTTAAAGCCCATTCTGTTGACAATCCTTGCAGCAACTTGAGTATCAGTATTGGGGGAAAAATAAATCAAAGATTTATTTGCACTAACACTTTGCCCCGACATCTCACAAAAGAGATTAATACAATCCATAATCACCTTAGCTTGCTCCATATCTGCTTCCGCAAAGAGAATGATATCATCTGCAAATAAAAGGTGGGATACACTCGGCCCTCTTCTGCAGACTCTAATAGGCTTCCACGAACCCATAGTCACTTTTTCAGCGATCAAGTGGGAAAGCTTCTCAACACACAACACAAAAATATAAGGAGAGATTGGATCCCCTTGACGAATTCCTCTCTGAGGAACTATGCAATCCGAAGCCACACCATTTATCAAGACCCTCGAACGATTAGAAGTTATAGAAGCCATTATAACACCAATCATCCAATCAGGAAACTGAACTTCAATAAGCACTTTATAGATAAAACTCCAACTGAGTTTATCATAAGCTTTTTCAAGGTCCAGTTTGATTGCCATTGTACCTTTCTTTCCTTTTACTCTCCCCATAGAATGAACCAGCTCCTTTGCTACTATAATATTATCCTGAAGCTGACGATTTGGCACGAAGCTAGCTTGGTAAGGAGAAACTAAATTCTCCATTGTAAGCTTAAGCCTATCCACAATGATCTTGCTCATACCCTTATAAATGACATTACACAAAGAAATAGGCCTGAATTGAGAAACATACATTGGCTTAGGAACTTTGGGGATCAAAGTGATCAGAGTACCGTTGACTTCCTCAATGCTGGAAGGGTTTTCTGCGTAATACTTGATATCTCTCCAAATCTGTTCACCAATAAATTCCCAGTTCTTTTTGTAGAATGTTGCGGTATAGCCATCCTCCCCTGGAGCTTTCGAATCTTTCATAGAAAAGAAAGCTCGTCTGACTTCATCTTTTGAAATTGGAGCACCTAAGTTAATAGCAGTCTCATCATCCACCTTTGGCCAAAGAGTCTGGACCCAAAGACGATCATGGTTTTCTTCAGAAAATAGTTTAGAGAAGTAAGCATTTATTACCCGTGCAATGTTGTGATCTTCTCTAATCAAGTTTCCAGCATCATCTTTCAACTCCAAGATCTTGCTCCTTCTACGTCTAACAATTGTTTTTGTATGATAGTACTTTGTATTCCTATCTCCTTGAGCTATCCAAGTAGCACGAGACTTTTCAAACCACAAAAGTTCCTCCTGTTCTAAAACTTGTTCAAGTTCACCCCTTATCTTGCCTTCAATCTTTTCTAAATGGCTTTTATTCTGCTCAGAAATTGCCCTCTGGATACCTTCAAGCCTACCAATCAACTTGTTCTTCTTATGATGGATATTACCAAACACATCTTTATTCCACTGCTTAATAAGAGGAGTGAAATCACGAAGACTATCAACTGTTCTTTGATCCTGACGCCAGTTTTTCTTGATGAAATTGTTAAAAAATTGATGATCCAACCAAAAAGAATGAAAACGGAAAGGGCGTTCCACCCCATCAACTTTGCTTGGCTCTAAGGTAATAAGGATAGGATTATGGTCACTGTTAATACGAGGAAGCACTCGAACCTGGCCTTCATGAAACATCAACCTCCATTCAGCATTGCTACAAGCTCGATCTAAACGTTTAAAGACTCTATCTAAATGAAGAAATCTTGGTCCTCACCATGTAAATTTAGAACCTATTCCTTCAAGATCAATCATCTTTATATCAGTTAGAAGAGAAGAAAATTTATTACATCTGCTAGTATCAACTGGAGCACCACCACGCTTCTCACTTGGAAAGGCAATTTCATTAAAATCACCTGCAATTAACCAAGGAACCGAGATATCTTCTGATAACTGAAGTAAATCATCCCAAAGTCTCTTCCGAATTTCTTCTCTAGGACTTGCATAGATAACAGTATAAAGAAAAGCTTGTTGGTGTATTACTTTACATCAGTATTCAGTTGATCAGTTAAAAAATAACTTTTTTATAGAAAAAAATATTTTTACTTTTTGCTATAGAAAAAGTCTCTTTGCTACAGTTACATAAAAAATAAGTGAATTTTATTAATTTTTTTCATTCTCTTTTCTTAACAACCAGACCCACTTACTTTTATACAATAATGATAGAGAGATTTTTTTGCAACAAAAAATAAAAATATTAAATCGTTTTTTATATGGGTTTTATTAATCTCATTTAACATAAGATAACTATGTTGTAGAGAGAAAATAGGTGAGTCTCATCATTACAAGAAGAAAGTGAGGTACAAAAATCGAAGTGAGAAAAAATAAGAGATGATATCTCATGTGAAAAATGAGTAATATTTCCTTTTTTATATTATACCATCTCTTAGTTTTTAGAAAATAAAACTGAGCCAGAGTATTTACCATAACTTTGTTCTAAAAATAAAAAGCCGCGAGCTTGTGTTGCAACTTGCCGTAAGTCGTAACCATCTCCGGTTTTTACCTCGTTACTGTTGAATTTGTACCTTGTCACTCTCGGATTTGTTGTTTTGTACCTTGTTATCCTAATCCATTAGATTCGCAAGTGGTAAAAAAGTAACCAACAATTTTTCTTTTTCTTTTTTTGGGTGAAACCCACACAATTTCTTAATTCACTCTTGTAATTTTACCACATAAAATCTTCCCCTCACTTGAACGCAGCTCCTCTGCCTCTGAGAGTGCCTTTATCTCAGAGGTTTAAAACTTCGAATAGAAGTTAGGCGTATAATTTCTTAGATGATTATTATAATGAGTATTTTGCAATGAGTAATGTTTAGCAACTTACATTAGTCGCATTTAAAAAATGGGAATTACTAATAATATATAAGAAACGAGAGAAAAAAATAAATAAAAAATATAATCAAAATGTAAAGTATATCAATTATGTGGGAGAAATGTTGCGGAATACGAACATTTACCTTTTGCGGTATGTTAATATTTTACTCTCGAGCTGCTGGATGGGCTCGTGCTTCTTACACATATTTATCTTAAATGTTTGGAATAATTAAATAAAAATTAATTATAGTAAAAATATGTAATTATTTTTCATGCCAAGTGATAATTTAGCTATAAAACCTCTTGTAACAAGACAGTTGTATTTTTTATTTTAAGTATTCATTACCTTGACTATATTAAAATTTTGAAAACATTTTATAAATGGTACACTATATTATAGATAGGAAAAATTCTAATATATTTGGAATAGTAATATTTTCAACAATTTCAATTTAATTTAAATTGTATTTTATATCATTTTAAATTTTATTCGTTGACATGTATTATTATGTTATATCAGGATCGATGTAATATATATTTTCATGATGCATAAACATTTCTGATAGAGAGATCATTAAAACAGTATCATAAGATAATGGATAGGAACTTCAAACTTCTGATCTGCTGTTAGGTGAAGCAGTAATGAACTAGTGATGATCATCAACCTTCCTTCTTTCTCTCTCTCTCTCTTTTAAAATATTGCGTGGTTTCTTTCTCTTAATGAAGCCTTGTAGAGATAAAATTATCTGCTAAAGAAACAACTCATACCTTAATTATTAGGGGTAAGGGGTTGGTTTCGTGTACATCATAAATATATAAGGGCGTGCACGCACAAAACTTTGGGAGGCTTCAAAGACACAATAGACAAAATGGAATCTTGTTATCTTTCCCCATTTAGAATATATATTCCTTTAAAGAGAAATAAAGTTAGAGTTGCATGCTTTTCGAAAGGTTACTTTTCTGTGAAACGGAATGCACCATACTATGATAATGGTATTCGTAACTGCATCCTTATCTTCTGTGATGAGTAAACAGTAATATCCTCAAGCGTTCGGTTCGAACCCAGCATTCACAGAACTAGAGATTTTTTTGACCTGGCAAATGGCAACTTGTCATAATGAAAAGACAAAAGAGCTATTAAAAAAAATAAAAAGGCAAAAACTAAAAGTCTTGCAGTCAACAATTTTTAATATGCTTAACGACTTAAATTATTTTTGAAAACTAATTTGATAATTTATATGTAAATGCGTTATTATATGTCATATTTTATATGATATGAGTATATCACATTTAGAGCATATATTATATGTATATTTTTTTTACAGTAAATTTTATGTGACTCTACTTTTTTTGCCCCTCTCTTAAAAGAGTAGCTGTTGTATAAAAAATTAGGGTGACTAAAGGTTTAGGGCTATGATGCACGGACACGGACACATGACACGACACGCTGACACGTTAATTCTAAAAAATGTCATATTTTGACACGTTGTAACACGTTTTGATATTAAATAAAATTTTTAATATATAATATAATTTATATTTAATACATATAAGAGTCCATAATAAGTCATATAACTAATCAAATATTTAAATTTTATAACATAAATATAAATATAAATAATTTTTCGTACTTTGTTAAATGACGCAAATGTAGCATTGTAATAGGGGATAGTTATTGCTTTTTTTGACTACAAATCGAAACATTGATAGTGCTTTTTTTTCCCAGTAAACTCAGGGTGTTCCCATTCCATAAAATAAGAGTAATTTCTTCGTGACTTAAAATAAGAAAGTTTTTATTACTAACCTTAAAATATTTCTTATAAATAACTTCATCAACTATCCTGATCCTGAAGTTGAAATCCATTTAACAATTGAGCTACACGCTTAACATTGAAGGCGTGTTTGGTAGCCAGCTTATTTTTGAATGTCCGGGAAAGGCAGGTAGGGGAAAATTGTTACCTGCGTTTGGTAGCCCCAAATCTATAACTTCACTGTCGAAAATTGTTTACGGGAAAATGTGAGTGTTTGATAATTTTGGTACGGATTGACAAATATGAAATCTATAAAATATGGGGAGTTTTTCGCTACGCGGGGAACCAAAAAGTAGGACGCGAAGTTATTGACAAAACTGACCTTGTCCTTATACAATCTGAGGATAAGGTCTTCGCAAAAGAGAACCACATGCTACTCCCATTAGAAGGTATACTTGTAGATTGTTGAAATCTGGGCTGCATGCTTTGAACATGCTACTCCCATGGTGGAACCCGTAAGTAACTATATGGGTTTTTTTTTCCGCTAAAAAGTGGGATATTATTTTGCAGAGCTCCCACCAAAGCAAAGCTGGGTTATTTTGCAAAGCTCCCTGGCGTCAATAGATCTGACTCACTTCAAACTCAGATCTGTTTCAGTTTGTCTTCAGGAACGAACGTTAGAAATTTTGAATCAAAAGGGTAAAGCTGAGATTCCCACTAATATTTCATAATCAACCAAACACAAACTCAGCAAAATAACCTTAATTTTTCCAGGAAAATATAGGTCTACCAAACAGTTTTTTAATAATATTTCAGTAAAATATATTTCCGGCTACATTCCAGTAACAATTATTTTTCAGATAAAAAAATATTTCTCCTCTACCAAACGCCCCCTGATGTATTTTTTGTTTTGGGAAAAGTGTGTGTCATCTTAAAGGATGTAAAGTTGTGTCATTTTAAAAGAGAGAAAGAGATAGATAAAGGAGGAGATAGTTGACAAAAAAAATAAAGATGTAAGTCTCATCTCTTTGTGAAAGTGAAATAATATAACTTGTATCATTTAAAAGGATAAACATTTTTTACTTTTATTTTTTTAGTACAAAACATTGATGGTACTTTTTTTTGGTAAGCTGGGTAAAACACACCACAACACAAATTAAATAACTAAAATACGACGAGTTCTACAAACAGAAGCTAAATCTGCATCAAACAGCAGACCAATTTCAAGGGGAGGGGAATTAAAAATACAAAAATAATCAGAATTAACATTCATAAAAAAAAAATTTGTCAGCCAATCTGCACAAAAATTTCCTTCTCTGAAGGTGTGAACCATATGAGCTCTCCAATCCTTTTGAATCCATGTCCGTACTCTAGAAATCAGCTGATTCTCACGGACTACATCACCATTACTAGTGAGAGCAGAGCAATAGCTGATTTAGAGTCACTTTCTACAATAACATTCCTCCGTTCATCTTTTCAATCAAGTTCCGAACTTTTAAATTATCCCAAAATTCTGACGTCACCACAAACTGCCAATCTTTAATTACCCTTTACGGCTCCATCAGTGTTTAGCTTTATTCAATTGTGGCTTCCAACTAACCAAGATATCCGAATGATTTTACCAATACGAAGTGCTACATTGCCAGCTGGAATAGGTGGAATTTTCAGCTATCATCAAAGCAACTTACTGACTTACTGACTTACTGTCCTATAATGCATGCATTGGAAGTGCCACCAAGTACTAACAACTTGGCATTAGCTTGGGTTTTAGTGGTAGGATTTTTATTTTTATTCAAACTGTTAAAACGGAATAAGTAATTGTGACCAGAACAGTAATGTAGACAATGGAACCTTGCTTAATTAATGTATTTAAAACTGGTTTTGTCTCGATAACTAATCTTGATTTAAAATTAATTGGCACAGTTTTAATTTTAGAAATTACACCTGACATGTTTTTTGAATTAAACTCGGTTTCAATTGATGCTGTACCAAATAATTCGATGTCATATAATATTTTAAAATTTGTAAGAATTTCAATAATGATAAATAACAAAATTTGTCAAATTAGTGTCTTTAAATTATTTTGACTTAATTATAGTTTAATATTTTAAATTTATATATTTTGTAAAATTATCTTGTCGTCCCGATTCAAAAAACCCATCGTTAGTCAGAACATGCTGACCCCACAGGCAATAAAACGGAGAGTTAGGACATATTTGAAATTTGTTTTGAAAAATAATTTTTTGATTTTTAGAAGAAAAAATATAAAAAAAAATCTGTTTGATAGGATTTGTTTTGTTAAATTTTTTTAAAAAATGTAGCTATTTTTTTGTTTTTAAAATAATTTAGATAACATATCTGAGTTATTTTTATTTTATATTTTGAAACATATCCTTATAAACCATTTTTGGAGTTGCCAAAGCTATATCTAATAAGAACTTTGTCATGGGAGAAGAATAGCACGGCAGTCCTGACGAAATTTCTGTCATGATGTTCAATTATGCTGCTGGGTCATCGTTGAACTCTCTTTCTCCCTCAAACAGACAAGCATGTTAAAAAACAATAATACTATGAGTTCTACTAAGAGAAGATAAATCTGCATTAAACAGTAACGTGAAGAATGATCTCTTTTTCATATATATCTTCTGTGGGTTCCTCGTTTCTACTATCACTGTTGATGGAAAAATTTGCAGCAAATATATTTACGTAAGATACAGAGCCGAATCTTGAAATTAAAAAAAAATAAAAATTTCAAGATACAGAATCGGATCTTAGTGGAAGTAAGTGTTGCTGCACATTTTTTGATCTGGAGCAACAGGAGAGCTATTAAAGCCATCTTCTATATATGTATATGTAAGATTCTATTTCTATTATAGAATAAAATCTTCTAGAAAATATATTTCAAACTAAAACCCAAAGTTACTG